TGTGGCTCTTCGTCCACCGATCATTGCTTCACTCTCAAGAAAAAAGGGTGTCGAAAGGTGTATTCTTATACCCTTTGTCCAATATAATACACCCCCAGAATTTCAATTCGACGTACAGTGCCCTACAGTCGAACAGAGGGCCCGAAATTTTACGAGGGGCTTGATAGCCTTGTGGTAGAACATTTTAAATAGATAAAGTACTTATCAAAGACCACATAAAGAAAACACAGAGTTTTTACAGTAGGGCCAAGAAAACCCGGATTATTTTTTTCGTGTTCAGTAAAACGTACATTAGCTATTTTAATAAGTTGTACCACATGGCTATCAAGCCCCTCGTAAAATTTCGGGCCGTCTGTTCGACTGTAGGGCGCAGTATGTCGAATTGAAGTTTGAGGGTGTATTATATGGGACAAAGGGTGTAAGAATACACCTTTTTACACCCTTTTTTCTTGAGAGTGTTCGGCTGGTGTTTTTACCGTGGAAGATGAGACCGTCGCGTGCTGCCGGAACAAGAACCTGGCGATTCTTCACTGAACTGTTTCTTCCGTAAGCTACAAAAAGGCTTTCTTCGCTCGCACACTCCATCCGTTCTGCTTGCCCCTTACTTGCAGGATGGTGTGGTGCACTAATGTTATGCCCAAGCCGTTTTTTTTTTAACTTGTTTATTTTATTTAAAACAAGATTCGGCGCGTTTTCAGAGAAAAGTAATTTCGGTAAGGCAAAAGTAGCGAAAAGAGAGCGTAGAATGTCAACGACGCGTTTGGACGTCATGGCATGCATCGTGTAAACTTCCAACCACTTAGAGTACGCATCGACCATGACTCCGCAGATGCGGATACGTTTCGCCACCCACCGACTGAATAGTGGATCGCTTTCAGTTACTGTTCATGATGGCGTTGGACTTGAGGAAAACTTTGAGTCTTTCCGCAAAGTTAGCCCAGGTGCCAACGGTTTTGTCGAAAGCGGTAAGTGTTTGAAATGTCGACAACGTCGGTAGCGACGTGCTGTGCCTGACACTGGACGCGTACCATTCCCTGAGAAGAAACTTGCTTGTTCGTCTGCCCCGAGTCGTCCGATATCCGGTCATCATCGCAACTGGCCATTTCCCGACAAAACAGGTCTTCATTGTCCGCATGTCCATAGTTAGCAATCGTGTGAACTTATAAATTCCCGAACGCTCATCGCTTGCCGTCGCTAAACGCCGCTAATTCATAGCTTCTTCGTTGCAAATAAACGTCTTCCTGTTTATTCTGATTTTTTTCATCATATTCCTCCTAAGCTGTACTTACAACATTATGTATGTCGGTACTTCCGAAAATATTGTAACGGCGTTTGTTTTCTGGGAACTATAGACGCTTTACACACGCGCCAGAATACAGCCGCCATTGCTGACCTTCTCTTGTTTTACCAAGATACCGAGCCACTGAAATTGGAGTGGACGAGCCTCCACAAAGGCCAATGCTGGGGAGAAAGACAGAATAAAACCTAGGATGGCAATGACCTAGCCTGCTATGGTAATAATGAAGTGAAGTAAACGTAATAAGGGGAAACAAAAACTGAAGGTCAGTTATGGTGGCGCCCATGCACAGCTGCTGCAAAGCGTCTATAATGCAACAAGCTTTACAACATCTTCCGGATCCCGTGAAGCACAACACTTCGTGACGTAACTTTTCAGCAGTCATTATAATGGTGAGGTAAGTACCGTAAATCGCGAAGCCGTTTACTAGACGTCCGCTTCCACTGGTGTCTTGGAAGATTGAGTCTACTGAGCGTGCATTCCTGCAGAAAAATTGTTCATTGATAGAATATTGACACGTCAAACAACAGTTGATTCCTTCTTGGTAAGATTTATCGCGAAAGGCCGTGGCAACCGCCGAACCGCATGTCTCTATAGGGAGTGTTCACTGACGGTCATACCTGTGTGCGCGACTGTAGAGCACGTGCTGACGGCGAGCTTCCACAGTTCTTCTGCATCGTGCATTCCGCACCATCAAGATTGCCTGTCTTAGCAGCCTATGAATGTTAGCTCGTTCTGAGCATGCGCTCTAAACATCGCCCTCAAACATGGCGTCCAGTGAATAGATCCTATATCAGAGAACAATTATTACCCAGCCTGATGTTCTCGCATACATGGATTTGCTGGGCCACGCTATTGAGGCAGCTGAGCACAGCTGGCAGCGGCGCGAGCAAAGCCACGATGGGAACGTGTTGGTGCTCGAGCCATCCCACCGTGAGCCAATATTCCGGCCACCCCACGGGTGCGTGTCGCCATCTATTGGTTGAACTAGCGCCTTGCTCAAGATGGCTGCCGTGGGACCGCAGCCTTAAGCCTCGAGTTGACGTCGTGTTTTGATCGCCGATTTACTTTCGAAGACTGCCTGCGCAGATCGAATAACAATAGAATTAACCTAGCCAGTGTATTCTGTTTCGCAGAGTGTTTCATTCCCAGTCTCTTTGTGTCTGGCAATAAGTCATCACATTTCAATGGTGGTACGATGGGTTGTATTGTTCTACTACTACGTGTGGGACGTCGAACGCATTTTTTATTGTTGCTTTTTTTTTCTTCGCGGCGCTATTTGGGACGTTGTTTAACCGCACTTTTATGATGTTTGCGAAACGAGTCCCTCTTCAAAACAGAGAAGAGATAAAATGTGGGAAATGGTAGGGGTCTAGACTGGTTTGGGACGCCACGGTCAGAGAATAACCGGTTCGATGATACGGCGTATACGTATACTACATTGGAAGCTGCGTCTGTTTAGCCCAAACTTCCTGAATTAACTGCACATGCACCGAATATCGAAGCAAAGGGCCACTCTGCTGGGGACACCAAATTGGATCAATTTGAGCCGCTGGCCGTCAGCGAACATTTGAAGAAAAAGCCGATGCTGCTGCCTTTTTTTTTTATCTTAACGGCCTAACGCAGTCTTTGTCGAGCTCGAGGTTTCCGACGAACGTGGGGCCGTCGGTCAGCTTTCTTCTCTTTCACTTCTCCTTGGGTCGCGGACAACACACAAGCTCGAAAGAGTCGATTTAAGCTTCAAACGCGGTTTTCCTCGAAGACCCATAAAAAATGTGCAAGCCGAATGTTTCACTCTGAGAAGCCCCGGTAAGAGTCCTGCCCCGGGATCAGTTTGTAATCGCGATGTTTTGTACATTTTTCTGTCTCCAATTTTAACAAACGTATCGTAGACATGTGACACGACTAGAGAAAATGACTGCCCACATATATAACACGACTCCCTCCGACTTTCGTGGAGCGCGAGTTTGCGTCCCATAGGCTTTCAAAATATTCAAGATTTTATTCAAGACTTCATTCAAGACGCATGCAAAGCTCCTTCGTGCATTTTAAAACTACATGTTCTAACTCAGTTTAATTTTTGTACATGGCGTACGATGTGATCAATTTTTCTCATTTGCCCCCTATATGCATTGATTCTTAGCTCTCAAGTTCCCGCTTCTTTTGAGATAGATATCTCCCACAACTTATCAAATGTTGTTGTTGTTGTTGTTGTTGTTGTTGATGATGCGGGTCTCGTAACCTGTGGAAGTTGAGTTCTGAATTCCCTGTTTTTCTTCCCACATATAGTCCGGAGTTTATTACGTACAGTGTCGTAAACAAATAAATTACAACCTGCGGCATCAGCAGTTTCCAAAACAGAAAATTATAGCTAATTATGGAACTCAAACATTATCCTACCAGATGATAGATTTCACAAACAAACATTATTGCGTGTTTGAGATAGCACAGGAAATCACTTCCATGATTTACTTTAACCTAAGGGAATAATTTAATGTTGCCAGTGTACATACCTAGTGAGTTGTGTTATTAACCAGTGTGATTTTTTTTTATCTTATTTGTAAGCTGAAGAGTCTTTACTTGAGTGAAATAATGTCTTTCTCGACTTTCTGCTGTGAGCTGGCGTTTTATTTTATATTTCTCTCACTATTTGTACCCTGCTGTTGATCGCTGTTACAAGGGTTGAGACCCAGTCAGGTGATTGTATTCGCCTTTTGTCCCAGCCCCCTTAACAACTGTGTAAACAAAAAATTTAAAAATATTACTTTTTTATGAAATTAATATGTTTATATTCATCACCGGTCTCTATGTATTTAAATGTTCTGATCGGGATTTGGTTCGTCCATTTTGTGTAGAACTTTCCGCGTATAAGTCCTTGCTGACTTTGTTTGGCTGTCACATATTTGTTTTTTTTTAAATTTAAATTAGTCTGTCGTCATAATTTCATTTACTGATTGCCCTTTCCCTCTACCTCCGGATTTTCTTAAGCATGTACAACTCTGCTTAAGTTGCCTAAAATTATGACCTGATGACGAACATTGCATGCATTCGACTGATGACGAATCTTACGAAATCTAAGGATCTCGGAAAAAGAGAAAAAAAAAAAGTTCGGTAATTCGACTGATTGCAGGTAACTGAAAGCTTCGCGTATTATATCTCGGGAGGAGGGTTGCTTCAGGCCTTATCTGTGCTCCGACTGGCGGCTCATGAACTCACGTTGAATCAAGGGCGGATTCATGGGTCAGGTTTCGGAGGGGGGAGGGGGGGGGGGGGGAGCGGGGTTTGCTGAGAGATGACGTTGTGGCCGGGAGGTTGTCCCGATCTATTTCGTTGATTAAATACGGTGGTGCCCTCAAAAACTGCACTTTTGACTAATGTATATTATTTCTTCATTGAAAAATGCTGACCTTGGGGGTCTGAGGAGCGGCGGTCGCTTCCTCCCCCCCGTCGCCTGCCCCCCTAAATCCGCCCATGAATATGAGAGACAAATGTACTCGGTACACTGAGCGTGTTTCTGAGCGTTCTGCTTTACAACCATTGGTAACTAGACCCAGAAGGGTGGACGGCAGTCCGGATAAAAATGAATTCAACCCCCCCCCCCCCCCCCCCCCCCCCGGTGATGCTATCTCGTTATGTCATAGTTTTAGTTGAGTGTTAATTCATCTTGATCGTAACGTCTCTTCTGTCACTTCTCTTGTTGCAGACTCATCCAAGAAGCTTCCAGACGTCCTCGAGGAGTTCAAAGAGAATGGAGCACTCTCCAAATATAACGCCGAAGGAGTGAGTATCCATTTCTTGCTCTTTCACTTATCAGGATCATCCCAATTTAAAATAATAAATAAAACTATAATGACCGAACAAAATTGTGGTGTAAAGCAAATAAAAATAAAAATAAAAATTTCAGCTGTGTTAGAGACTTTTTAGTGTTGTGTCGTTTACCCGCAATCTCGGGGTTTTTTCAACCATGTGTAAACTTGTAGTCGCCGGTACATGAGGAAACGCGTTTTGTGGCCAGTTGTTGTCCTAATTATTTGTGCTCGCAAGCACTTCGTGTCTCCCACCTAGCGATACTGCTATGATACAATGTAAACTGGACTTATAACGCATAGGTTCACGTCGGTGGGGAATCACTATGCCCGGCGCTAGTCAGTCAGTATTCAGCTACACTCAGTCAATACAAGTTAGTATTTGAGGTGTCCGGTGAAGAATATTTATGCTTCTATTCATTTTTTATAAAGCATACTTTGCAGTGTTTAAGCACTACGGCAGGGGAGTTGTTTTATCCTTTACTATCGCGTTCTTGCAGAATAAAAACCAAGAAATATATATATATATATACACAAAATGAATAGAAGCATGAATGATGTTCCTCACGTGACACCTCAACTATTCACTTGTAATAACATATATATATATATATATATATATATATATATATATATATATATATATATGGGTGGTTTCATCTCAAATCGTGCAGGCAAAAAGGGTCGAATTTTTAATTTTGATGAAAAAAATATATGTTATGGCTCCGTTTCTAAAACCGCAGTCGACACAAACCGCAAGTTCGTCGGATTTTTGGTTCTCGACTTATGAATTTTTAAAGAGGCCGCGGCGAAAAGCAGTGTTTTTCACACCCGTCGTGGGTCGGATGTTTCGCTTGATCTCCCGCCATGGATTTTCAGTCCACATTATATTATCTTTTTTGAAGCACTCTGTGGACACATTTAAAAGGCTCCAATACCATGAAATAATTTTAGGCTTTTTGCTTTTTTTCTGTAAAAATGTCAAAAACGCCTCCTCGGTCAATTGTTGACGAACTTTGACAATTAATTACTGGAGATCTACTTGGGTTACACCGATATTTTTTATGTCCACGGAGAGCCCAAAATACGCTCTTTTTATTTATTATAAAATTCCTTGGCTGTATAAAATATCCTTTGCGGTACGTTTACGTTAATATTATGCAAAAACCAAAAAGTACCATTTTTGAAATTGATTTTCTCAAAAAACCCATTTTTTATTTTTTTTATTTTTTGTTCAAATGTAGATATGATAGTTGTCTACACGAAAATCAAGCCTAGAGAGTGTATATTTTGTTTGCATGTTTTATATTTAGGCCTCAATATCGGAAAAAGACGTTTTTGTTTTGCAAGACCTAAGTCTGACATAGCGACCCATGCGTCTCTATGAATTGTGAAAAAGTTTTCTTGAATTTTCTTCTGCATTTTGTAATCAATTATAAACAGATTTTGTGGTATTGAATATTTATGTGTTTTGATAAGAGCGGGAACCATGAGATACATATCTAACCAAATCAGCAGGCCTAGTAGACTTTCAATAACCAAATGGGACAGACGTTGTATTGTTTCGATTTATAAACCTTTCAAAGTAAACTAGCACGACTAGCTATTTGCTGTCATATTACTAAGACAAAGAAAGTCACCACATTGTCGATATATACAATTCTTTACGAAACCAAACACTGGGGCGCTCGAAGCTAAGGCAAACAGGCGGTATCATTTCACGCATGCACGGATGGCTGGTTTCAAATTCCCCCACATCCCTAACGAAACCGGCCCATCTTCGTGTGTGCGTCTGTGGGATTTCTGTCTCGCGCCGCCGGTTTTAGCGCGCACGCGGCGTTGTTTTGGCTGGCAGAACAGTTGTTGACCGTCGACATTGTAAGGCCCTGGTGTCCTCATCCTTTCAGGCAACGATTCCTTTGCTTTCCCTTGTGCAATACTCTGACAGACTTCTCCTGGGTGGCTGTCACTGCTCGCCGCGTCAACGACAGAATCGTACCACTTCACTCCTCGTGACACAGGGTGCGCTGCTCGCTTTACTGTCACGGGCCGTCCCATCTAACACAACGAGCGCGAAAGGTCGTGGTCATCTGCTGGCTCCGAAAGGGCGGGACGTTCATGCAGGCCAATGAGGGCCCCGAATCAATAAGACGTCTGCCGACTCCTACACGTTAAAAATTTACGACACCTGCTGCTCTGTTAATAAGTGTTGCTTTCTCATTTTGGAACGCCTCCGATGTAGCTTTCCGCCTATAATAAAATTTAAATAATCAAGAAATATATCTGGGTGGAAATGCTGTATTTCATTTTTATGTGGGAACGTTGAAAAAAAGAAAAAACTATTTCCAAGCTTGTGAAGACGCGCAATTCGCAAGTCCATTTCGAGCCGTAAAAACACGTTTTCGTACGATATTGATGCTTAAATGTAGAACATACAAACAAAATATACACTTTCTAGGCTTGATTTTCGTGTAGACAACTATCATATCTACATTTGAACAAAAAATAAAAAAAATAAAAAATGGGTTTTTTGAGAAAATCAATTTCAAAAATGGTACTTTTTGGTTTTTGCATAATATTAACGTAAACGTACCGCAAAGGATATTTTAAACAACCAAGGTATTTTATAATAAATATAAAGAGCGTGTTTTCGGCTCTCCGTGGACATAAAAAATATCGGTGTAACCCAAGTAGATCTCCAGTAATTAATTGTCAAAGTTCGTCAACAATTGACCGAGGAGGCGTTTTTGACATTTTTACAGAAAAAAAGCAAAAGGCCTAAAATTATTTCATGGTATTGGAGCCTTTTAAATATGTCCAAAGAGTGCTTCAAAAAAAGATAATATAATGTGGACTGAAAATCCATGGCGGGAGATCAAGCGAAACATCCGACCCACGACGGGTGTGCAAAACACTGCTTTTCGCCGCGGCCTCTTTAAAAATTCATAAGTCGAGAACCAAAAATCCGACGAACTTGCGGTTTGTGTCGACTACGGTTTTAGAAAAGGCGCCATAACATATATTTTTTTCATCGAAATTGAAAATTCGACCCTTTTTGCCTGCACGATTTGAGATGAAACCACCCATATATATATATATATATATATATATATATATATATATATATATATATATATATATATATATATATATATATATATATATATATATATATATATATTGATATAAAACACCACAAAAATCTATAAGTTGATAAATCTAGAACAAAAAAAATCACTATTGGTTGATGCAATATCTACTGTCATTACACTTCAATATTGTTTTGTGAAAAAAAAACTGATATAGTACGTTCGACATTTTTTTCGTTTTCTTTTTGGTTTTACTGTTTTTTTATTTATTAGAGCCTGTGAGAAATGTTTTGACATCCGAGAAACTACGTGCAAGGCCTAAACTTTGTTTTTTCCGCGCAGGGCATCTTGCTTTGTCATGTCGCTATAAGTACACTCCATTACACGGGTGCGCATCCTCCTCTCACACCAACTGCCAAACTGCAAAATGATTCATTGTTAACATTCTCAATTCTTATTTATAACCACTCAACCAAAACAACGAATGAGATGTGGACCATCCACGGGATTGAACCTGCCATTCTTTCTAACTTGACACGTTCGTGCAGATGTCGAGATTCTTTCTCCGTGGGGTTTAAAGCAACGTCTTAGACGACAATACAAATAAAATAAAAAAACGACTTTACTTACGTGCAGTGCCCTCTTGGGAAATCTTGTTACCGTCCTTGAAAGAAATCCCTCGGGATCCACTCAGAGGCCCTCGTACCAACCAGCCCAGCTAACGCTGAAACGCGCAATAGGACTAATCCAATTAGTATCCGAACGTATAGTTACATCAGCCAAAAAGGATTATCAGAAGCAGAGGGGCTTAAGTTCCAGAATAGAGGCTTTACCTTGGGTTTCACTTTAAGCTCGTGTACAGGTCCCTACTAAAAATGCAAAGATCCTAAAGAATTACCTTGCATTTTCTATTCCTTTATATTTGGCCTAATTCCCTTGAGAAGCAAAAAGAGAGACACGAGTTTATTAATAAAATGGGAATTAAAATGCGATCTGTCTGGTCTAAGTTATACATTCAGAGGATAAATATAACTATAACGTAAGAGCCACAACGAGGAGTCTACACGTATTTTATAATTTACCCAAGACTGTGAGAGAAAAAAAAAGAGAGAGCAAGCTCACAAAATTGTGCTACTACTTTTATCTCAAAAAGTCTTTGCTATAGGCAAGACAAGGTAAGAGTAAAATTTACCTCCAAATTTCCCTGAGCGACTCCCATTAATATCAGCAAATAGGCAAAAGAAACCTAGAACGTCAACCCCAAGCAACCGACTCATCCCTGGCCATATTTACATGAACGCCAATGAAAGCCTATTAAAATAAAAGGAGACCAATAGCGCGCACTAGTGACCATTCCCCGTGTCTCGTCCTCTTCTGCCCAACCATTGACGTCAGATCTCGACTCGTTGAGCTGCGGTCACACCAGTGTAAAAGCAGCATCTGTTCCGCTGGATTTCTCCTTACCTCTTTCCCATTAGGAGCTTTCCCAAACTGATAACCATAAGCTTACAGACACCTAAATACACTTGGAACTTTCTACTAGAAACTGGAGAGTACCTCAGTCATTCTAGAATTTCATCATCCATGAACCTTTTTTTTCTAACTTGCCCATCAAGAGACACGGATTCACTCTTACAATTTTGTGAGTTTATGATCGCAAGGTAATTTTTAAATCTCGTCCATTGCATTCCCCTCTTGTTATTTTTTATATAGATATTCGTTCGCCTCTATTTTGGTTTACAGTGGCACTCTTCCACATGCTTGGCAATTTTAGATTTTTGTGTCTTGCTGCTGACATCTCTTTTATGCTCAAGAATTATCTAATTTAAACACTAACCTGTTTGTTCAATGTAACAGAGGTCAAAACACAAAGCAGTAACAATTA